ACTTTCCTACCCATGGAATCATACTAGTAGCACTCCTCTTAATCCTTTCAGTAAGTCTGTATCCTTTCTTGGATAAGGAGACCAAGAAAGCCTATTGTGTAGCTTTGTGCCTAACTTCAAACAAACAAGCATTCTGTGAAAACTGTTATGGTTACTTTTGTTATACAATATGTTGGAATTATTCCTGAATATGCTACGCTCTATACAGTAAAATTAGTTTCTGCTACATTGTGTTTCGTTGGTTTGTTTTTAGCTGAGTACAAAGATACACAATGTGTTATCTGTGATGTACCTACTGCGAATTTTAGCGTTATAAGCCCTCATGCTTAACCCTGAGTCACGGGGAACGACATTATGTTTTACACAGAGAAATCTTCCTGGTTATTTTATGTTCTACATGGCAAAAGCTTATACGTTAAAACTGTTATGGATTTTTTGCATGTTATATGTTGGAATTATTTTGAATATATCATAATGTATAAAGTGGAATAACTTTTGAATATATTACATCCTATGAAGAGTAATTTTCACCGTCTAGTTTGTGTTCTGCGTACGAATAATCTTCCTTATTTCTCACGTTATATATTGAGGTATTCTTCTTTCTAGCTTGTGTTCTTTGTACTGGAATACTTTCTGGTTGTACTGTGTTTTCAGTGCGATATTTCCTGACTACTTTGTTTTTTATGGTGTAAATGTCCCATTCCTTGATATGTCGTTGTTGTTTTTTTCTAATAAGATTTAGATTCGACTTTTATTTGTTCAAAGTCTCTTTTTGTGTTTTCAGGTTCAGTTGATGAACAAAGATCATCATGTCACGCAAATCATTTTTTCAAATTTTTTTCCAAATTTTAACATCGATAAAATCAACAAAATATACTAGGTACGTAAGAAATGTATTCTCTAATCTAATTAATATAATAAGTTCATTTAGCAAGCGATGCAACAACATTTTTTATTTATTTATACCTGTTTACACTTATATTTCTGTGGCATAAGAAGAAGCGATATTATAAATAATCTGTGCTAAATCGTTAAATGTAACGGATCCAGGGAGACACAATTTTCAGCATCTCTTCGCCATACAGATTAGGTATCAGATCAACATATATTACTTTTTGTCTTTCTTTATTAAAGTCGCATAGTTGTAAATCAAGATAGTGATGAATCAAGGCTGGTTTGGCCATACTCTTTCTTGTGGTCTGCGGAAGCATAAAGCTGTCATGGGGTCCGAACATATAAGCCTTCTCTGGTCGAACAAAATATCTGAAAAAACCTGGCCAATGAGAGGACAGGACAATTGCCGGTCGGGCTATGCGTTTTGCAAATGTAATAAAATTAGAAGAGTCTGGGTGCGGAGATACGAAGGATGGAAATTGTAGGCAAAAAATGGCTTGGGTGAATCTGTAGATATCACAGCAGGCTCCGTTCTCACTGGCATCCAGAGTCTTAATTAGCTCCACTAGGGTTGTGTGGTTGTGACTAGAAGGGGTCAAAAAATTGTCAATGTCCAAGAACAACAGGTGGGAGTAGTGATGCATGTGCCGATAGCCACAGTCTTGGAACGCGGAGAAGTAAGCAAAGCTGGATCCCGCTTTTTTATCACTATCGTCACTTTTTTCCCACGTAAGCTCCCATGGAAGTATGTCCACTGACAGGTCTTCAGACTGAGCTATAACATCCAACAGTCTCCGAAAGTTTGGCGTTGTGTCATAGTCATAAAATGAAAAATGGCGAACACCAAGAACGGAATAAAATGCTACGAACTCGGCTAATAATTGAGTGTCGTTCATGGGACCAAAAAATGGTAGAACACATACAGCAATGTTTATTTCTGAATCCATTTTAGGCTCAGGAATTTGGTGTATTTTGATCCACGTTGGGTCTTCCGACGACGAAATAAGCTTTACGCCCACATGTGTAGGTACATTTGCCGTAAAATCTCCGTGAGAACATTTCAAAATGCAAGAATTATGTAGCTTGTCAATATCTGAATCCCTCATTTTAATTTTCAAAACTTTTTCCTCTCCTTCAGACGATATTATTTTAGCCCAACACTCAATATATGCTGCCAAAATCGTAGGTTTACTTTCCGTTTTGCCAGTTATCCTAATGATTGGTCCCTCGCGTAAACTGGAACGCTTATCAAAGTACGCTGAATAAACGTTCAAGTCTGCGTTGATATTAATCCAATTATCAGTCCAGCTTCCGGCTTCCCGCACCCCAATCCATTTGGACTTCACTGAGATCTCAGGTTCTACCTGGGCAGGAGCAGGCTGTGGGGTCATTACAGCCACTGGTAAACGAGACCCCTCCTTCTCTGCGGGAGCGAATCTTTCCATCCGAACATCGGACTCAGAAGACAGAAAGCTACTCGAAGTTATTAGAAGCACAGAAATACAGACAAGTGAAATTATGACAGCTTTTCCTATTCGAAACGGGTAAGCAAACATATAAGGACTAATGGCCCGTTTCAGTTGCCGGAGTTCGAATCGTTGTCTGGTTAAAGAAAAAAAACAATGCACATATATATGTATATATATACATATATAACTCACCAAAATAAACAATTCAGAAATTAATTACTAAATATTTTGGATATCCTACGATAAAACTGCTAAAATATCCTTCTGGTCTAAGTAATATAAGGATATAAACATTAGAGTTTTAAAGAAACTTTATTTCTTTGCTTTTTTCACGCAGCTATTGAGCTTATACAATTTTAGTACAAAATGAACGATCAAATTAGACTCGTCAAAAGATAGTTTTATACAAGCATACGTTTATTTCAATGTATATGGTATTTGTTTGGTTGTCTGTTTTGAATTTCGCGCAAAGCTACACGAGGGCTATCTGCGCTAGCCGTCCCTAATTTAACAGTGTAAGACTAGAAGGAAGGCAGCTAGTCATCACCACCCACCGCCAAATCTTGGGCTACTCTTTTACTAACGAATAGTGGGATTGACCACAACATTATAACGCCCCCACGGCTGAAAGGGCGAGCATATTTGGTGGGACTGGGATTCGAACCCGCGACCCGCAGATTGCGAGTCGAGCTCCCTAACCACCTGGCCATGCGGGCCTGTTTGTTTGAAGTTAAGCACAAAGCTACACAATGGGCTATCTGTGCTCAGGTAAGTCCGCAGACATATCGCTGTGCCACTGGAGAGCATGTACATGGTAAAAAACTAACTAGCTGATGGAAGTCTAAGAAGACATTTGATTCTCAATATATGTTTAGCATGGTTTGTACAAAATACAAATCTGTTAATACCTACAATTTATTCAGTTACAATGCCACCAGGCAAGTAATCAGGTTGAAGAATATCTCATTTAAAAATATTTTTGAGTATTATTTTCTTTTTTTATAATTTCAATGTAGAATTGATAGACCTAAAGGGAAGGCATCTAGCCAAAAGCACCCACCGTCAGCTCTTGAGCAACTTTTGTCTAACCAGTAGTGTGATTTGACCATCGCTCTAATAGTGCACCCGCGGCCTCAAGGTGCTGAGTACGTTTTTGCGGCAACAGACTGCGAACCTCAGATTCACAGTCCGAGACAGATAACAACTAGGATACGCCCGACCCTCTAAAGATATTAATGAATTTTACTGAGCAGGTTAAACTTTTTTTGACAATGGAACAACCAACTGAAAGTTAAATGGAATAAATTATCACATGGTTCGTACTGAAGAACTATGATAACATAAAAACACCTTGCTTTCCCTAAATATTCATTCCTTTGTCAACAATATAACAGAACGAAAATACAGTCCAACAATGAAACCTGTTAGAGACACTGGATGCTCACTTCAGTGTTGTTGAAGCGCAACGGTACACTATGAGCTATATATTTGCTATGCCCACCGAGGGGAATTAAACTATGGATTTTAGAGTTGTAAGACTGTAAACTAAAATTAATTGTTTTCAATTTTTCATCTCTGAATACACTTTCGATTTACTTAATTTTGCGTGTTTATTGTTTTACTTACAAACGATGTAAAAAATGGTACACGTTCCTTGAAAATTCGAATTATAAAATATACTTACGAGACATTACGGCTGTTTTTCACAATACTCAAACGATCACCAATTTTTTGAAATACCTGAGTGTAACGATCGCGGAGGCCCTGGTGAGCCTGTGTAAAACGATCGCGGATCAGTTTGAAAATCAGAGCAAGTCGGTTGTGAACAACTTTAAAAATTTGAGAACACTTATCTCGAAATCCTTCGACATTCTTTAAGAAACGCTCGCGGTTTATAGAAACCTGAGAAAACATGCCTTGAGCTGGACGACTTAAAGCGCCAAATGACCACCTTTTCGCTATGACATGTGGTTATTTCGTGATGTATGAACTGGTGTAGTGGCATATGTGTTTATTTATAGAATAGTATCTTGAATCTACACTTGCAGGAAGATATTTTTATACTATACTGAAAACAGTTGAAAGTACAGTCTTCTAGCTTAAAGACACAGACTATTGTAAAAGGATACCTCTTGTCTTTTTTTTCATATTATTGATTTGACTAGGTACATTAAAATACATTATGTTAGGCTTAATTTTACTGAGTGATTTTTTACTTTTAAACTTAGAATTTGCCAAATAAACAAAAAGGCCGTGTAAGAAAATCTTAAAACTTACTGAACAGCTATTTGAGATAGAATATCTTTAACTGATATCATCTTAAAGAACTATATATATATATATATA